CAAGGCAAGCACTCTACCACTGAGCCAACTTCCCAGCCCTCAATGTCTTCTTACATCTCAGAATCCTCACCTTCAAGTGTACCTAGGTCCAAATTGAAGAAGCTATGAAGGGCTTAACAGAAGTAAATGGTCAGCTTTGTTTCTCTTCCCATTTGTTCCTCTTCAACAGCAGGGGGAAGTGCGTCTAAAGTGCCTGAAGGCTCTAAAAGGGTTGTACAGCAACCGGGAGCTGATTGCACGTCTAGAGCTCTTTACCAGTCGCTTTAAGGTATGACAAGAACAACACTCCCAGGATTGACCTTGGCTGTGATATATTCACATTTCCCCACCTCAGGTTTCTCTCCCTGTTCTGACATTCCTATTCTATCATCTACTCTTTTTTTGGGGGGGTTCCGGTCATAGGGCCTGAACTCTGGGCCTGTGCTGTCTCTCAGCTCTTCAGCTCAAGGCTAGCGCTCTACCACTTGAGCCACAGCGCCACTTCCTGGCTTTTTTTCTTTTTGCTTATGTGGTGCTGAAGAATTGAACCCAGGGCCTCATGCATGCAAGGCAAGTGCTCTACCACTGAGCCACCTTCCCAGTCCCTCTATCATCTATTCTTGTATTTTATCTTTAGGAATTTTTAAATACTAAGAGAATGCCATACTTTAGAATGTGCAGTGAGATACTGGGCATTGTTTTCTTCCCAACAGGACCGAATGGTGGCCATGGCCATGGACAAAGAGTACGATGTGGCAGTGGAGGCCATCAGGCTTCTGACCGTTATCCTGAAGTGAGTCCTGGGAAGTGGAAGTTGGCAACCCAGGTGAACCTTTCTGACATCAGACAGGTTCCTTCCAGAGCCCTGTCTCCATCTGTCATAGATTGAATTCCTTATTTGCAGATTGGAAGACGAATGATTCCTGAGTTTCAGGACAAAGGGAGAACTTTCCTATCTTCTCTAAGTCCATACTCTTCTGTCTCCCACTTTTTATTTAAAAGTTCTGAGTCATATCCTCATTGTTTTGGCATAATTTTGTTTCTAACTGATTGTGAGAGGGCAGAGTCCATAGCCACATCAATGCTCCTTTTCTGTTCACAGGAACACAGAGGGAGTTCTGACTAATGCAGACTGTGAGATCATTTACCCCATCGTGTATGCTTCCAACCGGGTCCTGTCCTCTGCTGCAGGAGAATTTCTGTATTGGAAGTGAGTAGGGGTCTTACTGTGTTGTATTGTTTCTCTCCCTCTTGTCCACTGCTGCTCTGCCTGAGGACTCCTTAAACATACTGAAATCTCTGTTGGTGTCTCCTTTACTTTCTCAACCCTGTGGACTTTCCTTATCCCTTTGTCCTCTCCTTGGGCCTGTCTTTCCCTCCATAGTGATTACTGCTTCCTCATGCCTTCCATACTACTCTCCCCATGTATCCATTTCACAGGCTCCTCTGTCCTGAGAGTGAGGCAAGAGTGGGAGGTGGAAGAGAGCAGGAGCGATACCGGAGTCTACATGCCCAGAGGAGTTTTTTCTACCTTCTGATGGCCTTCTTCATGAAGAGTGAGGTAATGGAGATACATGGCTGTTGTGCCTAAGACATGGAAGTAGAGAACAGGGCGAGCGATGTGATTATCAGCAATCACTTCCTGGAGCAGTTTCATGTGGCATCAGTAACTCACTCACTGTGCTTCTTCTCCTCCAGCTCCATGAACATGCTGCTTACTTAGTAGACAGCCTATGGGACTGTGCAGGGTTTCGGCTGAAGGACTGGGAGAATCTGGCAGGCATGCTACTGGAGAAGGACCAGAGTGCGTGTCATGTGGTAACTGGGGATAGGCACTCTGCGCCTCCTGTTATAAAACTGGGAAATATGTTTTTTTTGCTAATCCTGGGTCTTGAACTCAGGGATTGGGCACTGTCTTAGCTTCTTTTGCTCAAGGCTAGCACTTTACCACTTGTGCCACAGCACCACTTCTGACTTTTTTTGTTGATGTGGTGCTGAAGAATGGAACCCAGGGCTTCATGCATGCTAGGCAAGCACTCTACCATTAAGCTACATTCCCAGCCCTGGGAAAGATTTTTTTTACCTGACCTAAAAAGCAGTAGAGTGGTATGTATGTGCCAATTGGAGGTGGGAGGTAGGTAATTGTATTTCTCTTTTTGATCCTTCTGCCAACCCAGACTTGAGCAATGTAGAGGAGAGGACACTGATAGAAATCCTTGTGTCCAGTGCCCGGCAAGCTGCAGAGATTCAGCCTCCTGTAGGACGAGTCACTGGGAAAAAGGTATGGTATAAGAGTTGGGTTAGGCAATATATGAGTAGTACTGATGCCAGATAGATATTAGGTGTCATTCTAGCTAGCTTCTGCAACCTCTTAAGATTCCCATCCCAGAAAAAGGAACTCCGAAGGAAGTTGCTGCATCCTCTTTTCCTCTCTGGGTAGAGAAGGAGTCAATGAGGCAGAAAGACATGCAGACACTGGCTGGGCCATATTTGTCCACACTTGCTTTCCCCTAATTCCAGGGCCTAACTGCTAAGGAACGTAAGCTCCAAGCCAATGACAAGGCAAAGCTATCAGAGCAGCTCATTCCCTTGCTACCCCAGCTCCTGACAAAGGTACCACTTTTCCATCTGGCCTGGGGGTGTGGAGGTAAGGGTACAACCCCCATGCAGGGATGGGGGAGGGATAGCCTGTTAACAGACAGGGCTCTCCCTCTACCACCACAGTTCTCAGCAGATGCAGAGAAAGTTGCTCCCCTACTCCAGCTTCTCAACTACTTTGACCTCAGTATCTACTGTACTGGGCGCTTAGAGAAGGTGAGCAGGCAGTAAGATCTGTTTTCTATACCTCACTACTCCCCTGGTAGGACTAGAATCCATAAGCCTTTCCCTTTTTAGGCATCTTATCCTTGGAGTTACTGCTTGCAACCCTTTTTCTTCCCTGCTCAACCTTTGTCCCACCACACTGACTTCTCCTACCCTTTTCCCTCTCAGCACCTGGAACTGCTTCTGCAGCAACTTCAGGAGGTGGTAGTAAAGCACGTGGATCCAGCAGTACTAGAGGCTGGTGCACACGCCCTCCATCTGCTTCGCAAGCCTGAGTTCACCTTTTTCAACCGTGTGGACTTCACCCTTAGCCAACTAATGGAACTGCTCACTGGCCACTTCAAGCAGGATCTCAATGAGCTGCTGCAGGTAGGAGCGAAGTAAATGGCAGGACACTTTGAATCAGATAAGAGAGGGTCCCCAAATCAGGAAGATGGATAAGTGAGTTCCTGGGCAAATCCTTCTGTGAGTCTTCTCTTTCAGTCATCCTTCCTTGATGAAGACGAGATATACAGTCTGGCAACCACAATGAAGCGCCTTTCTGCCTTCTACACGTAAGCATCACTGCCCCTTCAATCCCACTTCTGCTGGTGTCTTGGTAGTTGGTTTCTTCATTCTGTTTGACCATAGTGTCTCTCTCTCTTGCCATAAAGTGCTCATGACCTGACTCGATGGGAGCTCTATGAGCCATGCTGCAGACTCCTCCGAAAGGCTGTTGATACAGGAGATGTTCCTCATCAGGCAGGTAGATGGGTGGAGATGTGGACCCTAAGAAGGCACTCTTTAGAGCTGTGTTCTGGATGGCATTCTCTCCTAGCTAGACCCAGACCCAGACCCAATGTGTGGAGTGAACACAGGAAGACCAGGTGGGCTCTCTCTTTTCATTCCTCTTTCAGAAGGTTCCCGGTGCTTGAGTGTTGAATACAGCCATCCTCTTGGGCTCCTTAGAGTCTAGGAGAATATTGAGGGATTCTAGGAAATGGTGACTAAATTAGGGAGATGTCAACATTTCTGTTTATATAGAAGCCTCTAAAGATTGTCTGGAATATTAGTTCTTTGAAATGTCAGGGTTTTTTCCCCCTCCTCTAGAAAAAGAGTTGGTTTCCCTATCACATTTTCTCCCTTCCTTATTGTTTTGTGTGTATGTATATCAGATCTCCCCATTCCTCTCCCTTGCATGCTTTTGCCACTTGCCTCAAACCTCATTTTGCTGACATTTCATGGTTGCAGGTCGTCCAGCCAGCCTTGACTCTTGTATATTTTTCCATTCTATGGACAGTAGCCCACTTCATTGAGTCAGCTGCTTCTAAGGTGAGGCTAGGTTTAAAGGAGGGGAACAGATATTCAATGCCCAAGTCTTCATTCCTCCCACAAGCTACTGTCTCCCTAGAATCAGCTGTTGAGTCTGAAGGACAGGATGACGGCCTTCTGCGAACTCTGTCAGAGCTGCCTCTCTGATGTGGATCCGAAGATACAGGAGAAGGTGGGAGCAGGGAGGATATTATCTGAGGAGACACCATGCTATAGGGACATTAGCTGTGTGAGTCTAATCTTGGTAAATATTCTGTTTCTTTAATCAGCCTTTTTTTTTTTGTTATTACCTCCAACAGGCTTTTATTGTGTTAAGTGATCTGCTTATCATCTTCAGTCCTCAGATGACAGTAGAGGGACGAGAGTTCCTTCAGCCCCTTGTGTTTTCTCCAGAAGCTGCTCTCCAGTCTGAGCTAGCCAGCTTTCTCATGGACCATGTCTTCCTCCAGTCTGAAGACATGAGCAGTGGTATAGGAACTCTATATCTGGGGACTTAGGCAGGATTTGGGGCTGGGTTGGGCTCAGGTATTAAAGGCAATAGGCCTAAGCTTGTGATTGGTTCTGCTGTTGATGGGCAGGTCACTCCTACTTTGAGGATGATGAACAAATAGAGCAGCTGCACCACCGGCGCCGCCTCCTCTCTGGGTTTTGCAAACTACTGCTCTATGGAGTGCTAGAACTGGATGCAGCCTCAGATGTTTTCAAACACTACCACAAGGTATAGTGAGGCCCTACAGACACTGAGAAGAGGACGCCAAGTTGAGCACAATCTTGTGTCAAACACCACAGCATTATAGAAAGGAAGGGAAAGGAGGGCAGGACTATAAGGGTATTATGTAGTTCAGTCCCCAGTACCACCAAAAGGGATGGATGGATAGATAGATAGGGAAAGAGATTTAGACAGTAGATCATTGTGTGAAAATTGGAGGGGAAATACCTCCTTCTTTTCCTCTTTCTATTTTTTCTCCAAACTGAGTTTATGGGATGGGATGATGTAAGAAGGAAAAAAATAGAAAAGGGATCTGTTAGATTATTTGGACTTTGCCAGAAAACCACGCAGACATCCAGGTACAGAGAACAAAGAAAGGTTTATTGCTGGGAAAGGGGGCTGGCAAGACCCCTTTTCACAAGGGAGAAGTGAGAAGAAGCACTGCCTATTGTCTGAGGTGACCTATATAACCTGGAGGTTTCAGAGGGGCTAGAAGGGGCTAGGAGGTGGAGACCCTGGTATGGATGTGTGGGCCAGGGGCTTTATCATGGCGGACCAAATAGTAGATAAGGGGCCCTGCAACTGCCCAGACCTGAATGTCACTGAAGGGCTCTTGTTGCATTATATGGTGGTAGCTTCCCCAGAGAAGTGCCATCTGAAGGTAAAGGGGATTGATGGCTGATTATTTACTGGTTGATTATTTACTACCTTTACTACATGGGCCTAGCATTTACCTAAGAAGGGAGCATGCTAAGCTGTGGAAAGGGGAAGGAGCGTACTAAGCTATGGGAAGGGAGCTCTTTGGGCTCTTAGCCATTCCTCACAAGATACCTAGATGTGTAGCTTAGCATCTCAGCCTCATCTGTACCACTTATGTTTACTGAGCACCTTGTGTACTAGGCCTGCCAGGCAGGAAACAGCACAGAGAAGCTTCTGCTCTGTGGGTTCTGTCTTTGGGGGGAAGAGGGGCTCATATAGGTTGTAGTGCTGTGTGATAGTGGGTGACTCAGGAATTGGGCTCAGGTAAAATTCTTTTCTTTGGGTTTTCACCTAAAGTCTTGATTTCTTTTGAGTTCTGTTCCCATTAGAGAAGAGGTCTATCTAGTTGGAGTTGTTTTATGCTTATTCGTGTTTATCTAAGGCTCTTTAGGAAATAGACATGGTCAGGGATGTAAACAAATCAAAGAGGAAGTTTTTTAACCTGTGTTTAAACATTTTCTTCCTTCCTGTTTCCTCTTCTTCAGTTCTACAGGGACTATGGTGACATTATAAAGGAAACATTGACAAGAGCAAGGCAGATTGACCGAAGTCATTGTTCCCGAATCCTGCTGCTAAGCCTCAAGCAGGTGCTCCCTAAAGAGGGCCTTACACCTGTGACATCCTCTCCAAGGTCCCCAACCACTCTCCCATCAGCCTCTTAGACCATGAGATCTTTGAGAGCAGGAACCTTCTTATTTTGACTCTCTCTTCACATGACAGGTTCTTTCTTGCCTTGAAGTCCCTTAAAAAATGTTTCTGAAACCAGGTATCAGTGGCTCACACCTGTAATCCTGGTTACTCAGGAGGCTGAGATCTGAGGATCACCATTAAAAGCCAGCATGGGCAGAAAAGTCTGTGAGACTCTTACCTCCAATAAACTCAGAAAAAGCCAGAAGTGGTGTTATTGCTCAAGTGATAGAGTGTAAACCTTGAGTACAAAGAGGGTAAGGGACATTGCCCAGGCCCTGAGTTCAAGCCATAAGACCAGCAGAAAGAAAAAAAGAAGGAAGGAAAGAAAATAAAAAGTTTCTGACTGGGCAGTTTCTACCCCAGCCCAATTGTCTGTTAAGATGTAGGAGAACCAACAATAAAGCAACAGGGAATTCCTCAATTTTTAGTTTATTCTCTCACAGCCTCCTTTAGTTGCCAGGCTTATTTATTTATTTATTGTTACAGAGCAGGGCTGAAACCTCTGCTGTAGGGGTCAGAGACTGAAGCGGTGTCCTGGGATTAAAAAATAGAGCAAAAGTAGTAGATGCCCTCCTAAGCCTCATGGGATTTTTGGGCAGAGGAGAGAGTGTTTTTCTTCCTTAGAGCTATGTTGTTCTTTCTTTCCCAATCATGCTATGTCTTCCTGACACAGCTGTACACAGAATTGCTGCAGGAGCAGGGGTCCCAGGGCCTGAGTGAGCAGCCAGCCTTCATGGAGATGAGAGACCTCGCCCGGAGGTTTGCCTTGAGCTTTGGACCCCACCAGATTCAAAACCGAGATGTTGTGGTCAAGCTTCACAAGTGAGGAAGTGCTGGTTGGAGGCCCAGTACAGGGAGGGTGGGGAGTTGAGTCCTGGAGAGGGGGTTATGTGGAAAAGCAGTAGTCTTGTGGTGGTGGGTATGCTTTGGTTGACAAGAGGGAATTTCAGAATGAATTAATTGTGCCCAACCAAGGGAAGGCATCAAGTTCTCCTTGTCTGAGCTTCCTCCAGCTGGCTCCTCGGGGGAACCCCCCAATCTGGCATTCCTGGAACTCCTTTCAGAATTCTCTCCTCGCCTCTTCTATCAGGACAAGCCACTCATGTAAGTTAGTGGGTGGATGAGCAGAGATGTGGGTTACAGAAGGCTTAGTAGCCACATCAGCCTTTTCACCCCTTCCTAGACTCTCCTACCTGGACAAGTGTCTACAGCAGGTCTCCCAGATACCAAGCCCTCCGTGGGGTCCAGTGACCACCTACTGCCATTCACTCAGCCCTGTGGAGAACACAGCACAGGGCAGCCCACAGAATCGCCTCCAATCCAAGACAAGTCACATTAGAGGTAGGGGGTTGGCAGTACCTTCTGATACCTCTGCTTAGAGGAGCAGGGGTGGTCTTTGACTCCCTTCAGAGTTTAATTTTGTCAACTAAGCACTTCATTTAAGGGATTTCACTTTCTTTTACTATTTCACTAAACAAAAACAGCAAACATCTATGAAAAAATGAAATAGAAACTAGCAATAAAAGCAATGATTGGGGGCTGGGAAGGTGGCTCAGTGGTAGAGCGCTTGCCTTGAATGCCTGAGGCCCTGGGTTCGATTCCTCAGTACCATATAAGCAAAAAGAAAAAAGCCGGAAGTAGCGCTGTGGCTCAAGTGGTAGAGTGCTAGCCTTGAGCTGAAGAGCTGAGGGACAGCGCCCAGGCCCAGAATTCAGGCCCCATGACCGGACCCCCCCAAAAAAATAGTCTCACACACCTTCCTGCCAGGGCTGGCTTAGAACTTCAATCTTCAGATCTCAGCCTCCTGAGTAGCTAGGATTATAGGCAGGAGCTTTTAAAGGTGTTTTTTTTGAAGTAATTCAAAGTAGATGTTTGATTGGTTAAAGTAGAAAATCTCTAGTTAGACGTTGCAGGTTCATTTGGTGGTTTCTGATTGGTTGAGCTTAAGTTTCAGTCTCTAAGCCATTAACTCTGATTTATATTCTGGTTTGCTGATATCAAGACCCAAGGCACTGAAACAGCCTCCTTTATTTATTTATTTATTTTATTTATTTACTTATTTACTTACTTATAGTTGTGGGGCTTGAACTTAGCCTGGGTTCTATGCCTGAGCTCTTTAGCTCAAGGCTAGTGCTCTACCACTTGAGCCACAGTGCCACTTCTGGTCTTCCGGTGGTTAATTGGCAATAAGAGTCTCACAGACTTTCCTGACCAGGCTGATTTTGAACCACAATCCTCAGATCTCAGCTTCATGAGTAGCTAGGATTACAGGCATGAGCCACCAGTACCTGGCTATTTACTTACTTTTTGTCAATGGTGGGTATTGAACTCATGGCTTAGGCACTGTCCTTGAGGTTTTTCACTCAAGGCTAGTATTCTACCACTTTGAGCCATAGTGCCACTTCTACTTTTCTGGGG